AAACCCTCACATAAGCACAGTTTGATGGGTAACCCATCCATCCTGCCTAAATCTTTCCAATTTTCCACAAGCCATGTATTGCACCTGCACGCCATCTCATCTCATCTCATCTCACATCCTCCTACAAATAACAACAAAATAGTCCGGGCAACAACTGCTACTGAAGCAGTTATTGTTTGGGCACTAAAACAAATTGGTTATTTTCAGAGCATGCCCAACAATCACCCAATAATTGATTCCCAAAAAATCTGAATTAGGAATACCAAAATAAAAATTGGGCCCAACAATGACCCCCTCCTCCAAGAGATGCCCAAAAATCAATTCCCTATCATTTGTTAGTTTGCCACGTAAGCAAGGTGGGGCCCAGTTCGGTACTTGTGCACGTCTTCTCCCTCCCGCACCAGCGCCGATCGACTTCTTCCTCCCCGGACCTACGCCGCCGTGACCTAGCGCCATCATCACCAGCCAGTCAACCAGTGTCCTGACTGCTGTGATTTGTTAAAAAACGGAACACCAAGGAGATGCCGTAGCAATTCGTGTCATCAAGGAGGTAATCGTTAGCAAATCCCATTGATCTCTTGTGCCGTAGTCAATCTCTATGTCTGTATTTTGATATGTGGATATATATTGTTGGAAAATATTAAGTTTGATCTGATAATTAATTTTGCAGATTGATTATTGTTCTATTCCTGCCATTAGTTCCCTCCATTGCACTTCATCCCTGTGGTAAACGCTCCAACCCCGTGGCAAACAAAAAGAGGAGATGAGTCGTCGAAGCACCCTCCTTCAAATGCTATTGGATGAGTTTTCATCGGATGGTGACGAAGAATTTATTTCTTCGGCGGTTGATATAGTGCACGAAGAGTTTGACGATGATGAAGTTCCAAAGCATGGTGAATCTATTATAGGTCATGCAGTAATTAATCAGTGACAGTGAACCTTGTTAGTATGTATGTCAGTGGCACATACATACTGAAATTGAATCTTTCAGACACTATTTTCAATATTTGGCACAAGCATGTGGTTGTTCATCTGCTAATCTAAAAAGTGAGGCATACTAAATGCAGATGATCACTTCAATTAAGCAGCTGTTGTACTTAGAGCTATGAACTGTACAAGTTATTATAATCCTATTGAACCTATGCTGTTGTACTTAGAATTCTGCAGTTGCAGCTTTCATGAAACTGAAAGTCTGATTGGCAAAAGCAGGTGGTTCTTTTATCTTGAAAAATAGACTATGGATTGCATCTTGTTGCATTATCTGTCAAATTATCTAACAACATTATCTTAATGCAAAAATTCAGAGCATATTTCAAAGATGTTGTGATGAGAGAAAAATATTTCAGACTTTCAGAGCATATTTCAGACTTTGGGAGTACATTTGACATAGAAAAAATATTTGACACAGCATATTTCAGATTTTCAGAGCATACCATACATTTAGAGCATATCCTTCATTACTAAATGTTCTGAAACCTGATTTCCTCTAAGTGTTCAGACTTTCAAATTTAGAGCATATCCTGCATATTTCAAACTTTCATTCAATACAGTACAAATTTCAGACTTTCTGACATTTTCCTCTAAGTGTTCTGAATCCTGAATTCCTGAATTTCTAGCCGAGGAAGTCAGTCACAGAATGGACATCAGATCAGGCTGCAACACTCTGAAAATTAATCTAAACATCGAACGAATCAGGGACAGCCTTACCGAAATTGCTCCTATGGAGGAATTCTTCATCACCACAGAATAAGCTGTGGAGAAATCAACGCCAGGAGCTTCGTGTGAGAGGGGATTCAGTGTCTCCCATGGAGCATGTCCCTCCATGGACTCTGTCGCCTGCACACCGGAGTAGGGAGGTTGAGGATGAGGCAGACCGAGACAACGGTGAGGCGGCGGTGCGGGGCGCAGAGGGCCGTCGGCCCCAAATCGAGGAGGCGGTGGTCGACGTGCGGGCGCCCCCTGGAACAACACCGCCGCCGACGCCTGCGAGGAAGAGGACGGCGGCTGCATCGCCGCTTGGAGCAACGCCGGCGCCTGCGCCTGAGAGGAAGGGCATGGCCGCTACATCGCTGCCTGGAGCAACACCGACGCCGACCCCTGTGACCGAGAGGAAGGGGACGACCGCTGCATCTCCGCGTGGAACTCAGTCGACGACGCCTGCGAGGAAGGGGTTGGCCGTTGCTTCGCCGCCTGGAAAGCCGCTACCGACGCCTGGGAGAAAGAGGAATTTTGTTGCTGGCGACTGGCGAGGAGGGCGAGAAAAGGAGCGCGGGAACAATTTTCCCCCTACACGCGCGAGGCAGCGACGATCGTGATTGGGAAGAAAAAATGGTTCCCTGCAAATGAGTAACGACATATACGGATATGGGAACATGGATTATTGGGATGTTGGTTAGGGAATCTGTTGGATGAGAATTTTGGTTAAAATTTCTTTAATTAAAGGATAGGGAATAGAATAAGTAATCTGTTGGGCATGCTCTAAGCTGGCCATCAATAGCTGAAACAAGCATAACCACGGTTCCGCCGCCCACTTGAAATGATTTTAAAAAAAGAAAAATTATTTGGGAGTAGCTATATCCGTGGTGCTCTATTTTTCAAAGAAAGTAATCAAATTATTTTTTCACTATAAATTAATTAGTATTTATAACTGTGGTAGTAAGTAACTACTCCATCCGTTTCACAATGTAAGTCATTTTAGCATTTCCCACATTCATATTGATATTAATGAATCTAGACATATACATCTATATAAATTCGTTATAACATCCATATGAATACGAAAAATACTAGAATGACTTACATTGTGGAACGGAGGAATTACACTGTAAATTTCAAAACTTACACTATAATAGTAATTATAATTATACTGTCAGTTTCAATATTTATATTGTGATTTTTCTAATAGATAGGCACTATCTACTAGTATAAAGATAATTAGTATTAAAAGTAATTTATTATGTACTTAAAAGAGGAGATAGGAGAATATAAGCATACTTACATATATGAAAGATATGGCAGTCTCATAGGAAAAAGTAACAGAAATTAAATGAAAATTATGGCGCCATAATTTTTTGCAATCCCTGAATTATTATTACTCAACATCGAAGTACGTCAACGGACAAACTAGGATGCACATATAAGAGAGGTAGCATTTGCAATACATGTTGAAAAAGCAGAATGTGACATCCTAGCTAGATCTAGATGTAGCATGTACATGTTGCCCATGAGAGTTGTGTGTGCATGCTTAGTAGTACAATGCTAATTTAGCAAGGTAGAGTCAATTTATAAGGCTTGTCACTTCAACCATGCACACACATATATATATATATATATATATATATATATATATATATATATATATATATATATATATATATATATATATATATATGTATATATATATGTGTGTGTATATATATATGTATGTATATATATGTATATATAGATATACATATATATATATGTATATATATAGATATACATATATATATATATATCATTGCTAGTTAACCTTTTTATATGAAATAAGGATGAAAACGTAAGTGGGATGATATGTGTAAGTGCGCTCAACCGTCGGATGAGTTGGGCTATGTGGTTCGGGAAGGTGTGTTGTTACGCATAATGTACGAAAGTGATAGAAAATACAAATGTGCATGCATGTATCATGATCAGAAACTCGGAGTATGATCGATCAGAGCTTCTGCTGAACACAGGGCTGCTGGTAAAATCGCGTCACAAATTTGTGCTGGGCAGGTAAAAAACCTCATGTAGATCGAGGCACATTCTTAGAGAGAATATTTTCAAATTATTTTAGAATAGATAGTTCTAAATTGTAGAGACTCTTTCTACATGAATTTAAACATTGTCTAGAATTTGCTTCATATGAGGTATGCTTTCAACACTAAATTTGCTTCATATATAAAATCATTTTCTTGAGGTATTTTAACATGTGTGGAGGCACTTCTTATAATATTATTATGCGCTAATTAAGTAACTAGATATATGTGACATATCTGGGCCAATTAGGATGATGCATGTGTAACCAATGAGAATTGTGTGCACATATTAATACCACATTGCTAGTTTAAGAAGGGTGGAACCAACATATAAGGGCTTTCCCTCAAATTAACCATATCACTCTCAGGTAAACCCTTTTACGTGAAGCGAAGACGAAAGCGTAAATGAGGTGGTATGTGTAGGTGAATCCGCCCGTCAGATGAGCTAGGCTGCACAGTTTTGGAGGGCGGGTTGTTACAATATAAATAATGCTAGGTACACACGTACACGAAATTATATACACGATGTTGATATGGTTAGTGAATGAAAGATAATAAAAGTACTCAGCTTGCCACCGCAAGTAATATACAAGAAAGCTCTTCCTCTTCAACATTATCAATATTAGTGAACAACTATTTGAATAGTTTACACTATGTAGATGTATCCGCTTTACTTACAAGCCATGCACACTCATACGCTTGACCAGTCAAGTCATTTCAATTACTAATATCCCGGCAAAAGCCCACACATAGTAGGTATGTGAACCCTATAACTAGGACGGGCCATTATTAGGCAGCTAACCACACACCCCTAACTCCACGCCTATCATCTAAACTGAGGGCATCACCTGGCCACTTCATAGATATATTGGTCTCAGTGTCTAGTGTCTAGTAGACCGAATGGGGACATGAACCTCTCCAGACTAGCCTATGAGGCCTAACTTCTCTCGTTCGTCCTCTAAAATTTTTCAGCTTTATCAGTCAGATATAGATTGAACAAATTAAAGAGATTTTGGGTGCAGTACAAGATAAAATATAGATGTCATCACTATATTCTTCAGGTAACATATATGCATGCAAATAATAACACATAATCAAATTATATATCCTTTATCAAGCGAGTGTAAATTCAAAGTACTATTGATTAATTACGTGGAGGTAATGAGTCGTTCATATCGATATATATCCTGACAAAGTCAGTCCAATGGATATATAAATCTAGCCTCAGCCACAGACGGGGCTGCTTGTGAAATCACTGATGGGGAAGGAGATGCTGCTGGTTCCGACATTGAACGTCAGCTGGTTACCAGCTTGGTCGACCTGGACAATTGCCTGAAACAAATACTTCACCTAAACCCTCACACCTTTTATCTCGCTGATAGACCCTGACTTGATGAGTCCCACGAATTTGCTGTCAAAGCGAAACTTGTACGGCGAGCCTCCGACGGTGATGGCGAAGTTGCACTCGCCAGGCAAGGTCACCTCAAGGTGGCCATCAGGGTGGAGCACGTACGACGTCACTCCTTGTGGGATGAGACCACGTGGCAGATTGTTCTGTTGCAGGACATCGTACACCGTCGCTGAGGACGCCGTATGAAGAATGGAAGCCGCGAGGACGATAAGGAGGAGACGATGGGCCATGGAGTTAAGCTACCTGGTACCTTAATTTCTCTGTCTATCTCTAATAGCAGAAATGAACAAGCTAGTGTAATATTGTGACTATGAAAAATGAACTAGGTCTGATTGGATAATGCACCAGAAAGAGCATGGAGACATGCATGTATAGCCGACTCGCTGGCCAAAGTTACCATCCAAATCGCAGAAACAACGCTATTTGATAGCGTTTTTATATTAAAGAATCACAAATAATTACGAAGAATAACCATCGTTTATTCTGCCTAGTTAACCTTCATTCAAATCATTGATCACATATAAAAGCTTGATATACAGTCACACCTACTATTGACTTTATATTTTTCCTCCTAATTAATTTTCATTCAAAACATGGATCACGTATGGAAATTAAAGCTTGATATACGTACGAGCCAAATTAACTTTGTATCAAAACATTTATAAAACGTGTCTGCGCACATATGTATATAGACACACACACTAAGTGATTCCCCGTACTTTGATATGGAAATTACTAATTAACTTTTAATATTTTTTATTAATCAAGCTAAAAGTAAAAAAAATTAGTTATTAACTGGTTTGTCAAACTATGTTAAGAGAGAAATAAATTTAGTTGATTTTGTATGAGATTGTAGATAAAATATGATATCCCGCACTTTGATTATAAATTTGTGTGGCATGGTTCAAATTTTCCCTTGATTATACGCATGGATGAATATATGTTAAGTATTATAAAAATGATGGATATATGTAAAAAATATTGTGAAAAATAATATGAAGAAATATGATTGCATGTTGATTTGTAGAATTCAATGAATTATAAATGATGTTGCATGCTTGCATAAGTTTTGTATGTAATTATTGCTAGTAGATGATGAGGTGGCATGTTTGCATGTTGAGCTTTAGAATTAGTGGGTTATAATTTTATAGTATGATATATATATATATATATATATATATATATATATATATATATATATATATATATATATATATATATATGTGTGTGTGTGTGTGTGTGTGTGTGTGTGTGTGTGTGTGTGTGTGTGTGTGTGTGTGTGTGTGAGAGAGAGAGAGAGAGAGAGAGAGAGAGAGATAAACGTTTTGATACAAAGTTAATTTGGCGCGTATGTCTAGCTTTAATTTCTATATGTGATCCATGTTTTGAGTGAAAATTTATTAGGCAGAAAAATATAAAGTCAATAGGATAGGTGTGCCGTATATCAAGCTTTGTATATGTGATCAATGATTTGAATGAAAGTTAAATAGGCAGAATAAACGATGGTTATTCTTTGTAATTATTTGTGATTCTTTAATAAAGAAACGCTATCAAATAGCGGTGTTTCTGGGATTTGGATGGTAATTGTGGCCGCGAGTCAGCTATATATATGCATGTCTGCATGCCTTTCTAATGCATTATCCAATCAGACCGAGTTCATTTTTCATAGTCACAAGAGCAATTTTACGGTCCTTGAGAAGGTACCATGAAGTACCATTTTTTCTATTGTAAATTTGGTACCTCATGTTACCTAGATACTATGAGGTACCATGAGGTACCAAAATTTACACTAAAAATTTGGTACCTCATGGTACCTCCTCAAGCACCGTAGAATTGCTCTAGTCACAATATTACACTTGTTCATTTCTGCTATTAGAGATAGACAGAGAAATTAAGGTACCAGGTAGCTTAGCTCCATGGCCCATCGTCTCCTCCTTATCGTCCTCGTGGCTTCCATTCTTCATACGGTGTCCTCAGCGACGGTGTACGATGTCCTCCAACAGAACAATCTGCCACGTGGTCTCATCCCACAAGGAGTGACGTCGTACGTGCTCCACCCTGATGGCCACCTTGAGGTGACCTTGCCTAGCGAGTGCAACTTTGCCGTCACCGTCGGAGGCTCGCCGTACAAGTTTCGCTTTGACAGCAAATTCGTGGGACTCATCAAGTCAGGGTCTATCAGCGAGATAAATGGTGTGAGGGTTCAGGTGAAGTATTTGTTTCAGGCGATTGTCCAGGTCGACCAGCAGCATCTCCTTCCTCATCAGTGATTTCACAAGCAGCCCCGTCTGTGGCTGAGGCTAGATTTATATATCCACTGGACTGACTTTGTCAGGATATATATCGATATGAACGACTCATTACCTCCATGTAATTAATCAATAATACTTTGAATTTACACTCGCTTGATAAAGGATATATAATTTGATTATGTGTCATTATTTGCATGCATATATGTTACCAAAAAAAAAAGTGATGGCATCTATATTCTATCTTGTACTGCACCCAAAATCTCTTTAATTTGTTCAATCTATATCTGACTGATAAAGCTGAAAAATTTTTAGAGGACGAACGAGAGAAGCTGAAAAATTTTTAGAGGACTCATCAAGTCAGGGTCTATCAGCGAGGTAAATGGTGTGAGGGTTCACGTTAAGTACGCGTTCGAGGCGATTATCCAGGTCGACCATGCTGGTAACCAGCTGACGTTCAAGGTCGGCACCAGCAGCATCTCCTTCCCCATCAGTGATTTCACAAGCAGCCCTGTCTGTGGCTGAGGCGTTGATTTATCCACTGGACTAACATTGTCATGATATATCGATGTGAATGACTCATTACCTCCACGTAATTAATCAATAATACTTGGAATTTACACTCTCTTGATAAACGATATATAATTTGATTTTGTGTCATTATTTGTATGCATATATGTTACTTGAAGAATATCACGGTGACATCTATATTCTATCTTGTACTCCACCCAAAATTTTATTAGTTTGTTCAATCTAGCGGACTGATAAAACTGAAATTTTTTAGAGGACGAACGAGAGAAGTTACGTTTGATAGGCTAGTTTGGATGGGTTCACATCCCCATTCAAACTATTGGACACCGGGACCAATTTATAATATATCTATGAAGTGGCCTGGTGACGCGCTCAGGTTATATGATAGGTGCATGGAGTTTGGGGATGTAAGAGCCCCCGCAATAGTAAAGTAAGGTGCTATCTATAAAACATGTACATCTCAGCAATAGACTAGATTAATAGTAAACCACCTCAATAATATGTCTATATGGGTATCTATAACTCTCTAATCCATTGCCTCGTTTTCCTATATAGACTATCTCCAGGTTAGTAAGATAGCTTTGCTCTCTCTCTTCATTTAATCTCTTCCAAATAGGAAAATATACTAATATAGATCTCTTATAGAGAGCCTATAGATAACCATTGCGGGTGCCCTATGATTATAGCTACTTAGCTGCCTAACTAAGTAACTATAGCCCGCCCAAGTTAAAGGGTTCACAGACCTAGCACGTGCGAGCTTCTGCCGGGATATTGGTAATTGGAATGCGTTGCAAAGGCCTTGTCATGCAACCACGCTGAATGCCTTGACAGGACAAGCGTATTAGTGTGCATGTCTTCTGAATAAAGCGGACAACCTCTACTTAGTGTAAAGTATTCAAATAGGTTTTCACTTATATCAATAAGGTTGAAGAGGAAGACTTTGCTTGTATATTTTCCTAGCGTTATTTATATTGTAACAATCTGCTCTGCAAAACCACGCAGCCCAGCACATCTGATGGATGGATCCACTTACACATACCACTGCACTTACACTTTCATCCCCGATTCACGTAAAAGGATTTACCTAAGAGTGATATCATTAATTGGAGGGATAAGCCCTTGTAAGTTGCTTACACCCTTTCTAAACTAGCAATGTAGTATTAAACATGCACACACAGCTCTCATGGGTTACACATGTCTGATCCTAAGTGGCCAAGATATCACATATATTTTGTTACTTAATTAGGGCATAATAACAATATAAGAAGTGCCACATAGCGGTTTAGGAGCATTTATAGGAGTTCCACATGATGACCTGATAGAGTTATAGGAATTTTAATGTACTTTTAATTTTAATATATAATAGATAATTCGTTGATGGCTTTTGTGGTAGAATCTGTCGCATCAACTTGGGGACATGTCTAATTTTATGGAGGGAGGGATGTATCAGGTGGTCTGGATGGGCTGCGAGAGAAATGGGCTTGGCCTAGCTCACATGCCAAAGGAGAGCCACCAAGCAGCAAAAATATCAACTCTTCAGCCATAAAAAAGCATCGATGAACAAATATGAAAGTGGGCTTTGCCATAGCTCTCTTCAATTCCTCCTCAACTCTGCTCTCTCTTGATTTCTACTACCTTCAAATTTTTAATGTATAATATCGTTGACTTTTTTTTCAACATTTGACCATTTATCTTATTCAAAAAATTTTATGTAATTATCATTTATTTTATTGTGACTTGATTCTTCATCAAATGTTTTTTTAAGCATGACATAAGTATTTTCATATTTGCACAAAAAAATTTAAATAAAACGAATGGTCAAATGTTAGTCGAAAAGTCAACGGTGTCGTATATTAAAATACGGAGGGAGTACTTCTTTAGGCTCACCCCCTTGCTTCTTCCTAGTAAATTGCTCTTCCCGATCCCCGCTTCTTATATTCTCTTTATTTGTATCCCTAAGCACTTATATGTTGGAGTGGTTTACAATATCTATTGGAGGCATCTGTGTGTTGAGAAATTGTTGGGTGGAGCTTGGTACATAACACGTTCCGGCAGATCAGACGAACGGCAAGGCCCGCGAGCCAATGTTGCTGCTTGGCACAGCACGGGACATCTGATTATAAGACTGAGCAGGATGCACTGCGTACAGTGCTCGCGTGGTGTTCGATCGTGTGATGCGTAAGGCCCGGGTATGCCTGGATTCAATCTGGGCCGAGAATGATAAGTATAATAAGAAATTTATGATAGATACAATAAGATACCGGGATTTATTCCGAGCCGGGAACCAATTTACTCATATTAAGTACAACAAAACATACAGATTAGCTCCATACCTCTTGACTAGTAAATTGATTCCCGGTCTTTTATTGTCTCTATCATAAGTAAATTGGTTCCCGGCCCGGAATAAATCTCGGTCTCTCATTGTATCAATAATAAATTTCTTACTATACTTGTCATTCCTGACCCGGATAGAATCCGGGTGTAACTGAACAAGGCCTAAGTAGGCATGTGAGCGCGAGGGTGAAGTGGGATCGGTTAATCAAATGACCCAAGGTGAGTGTCAAAAGTAGTGAGAAGATTAACAAATTAAATCCAAGCATAACCAAACAAGGCCTAATAAGGGGGCATGTGAACGCGAGGGTGAAGTGGGATCAGTTAGTCAAACGACCCAGTAGTAAGAGGATTAACAAAAACTAACTGAAAACATGTAATTAGTCTTATATTTGGCTTACAGGAAAAAAACAGTATTGCTGACTATAATCATGTAAATCAGATGCCAACTTAAGATAAAACTTTGTCAGAAGATGTCTTATGAGATGCTCCAGATAATCCAAGATGTACGCTCCTAAAAAAAATTGGCCGTGCTCGCTTTGCTCCCCGACAAGCCAACAACGAGGAGGCGATTCACATAGCCACACAGGCCCACACAGCGGCCCACGGGTTGCATTGGCGCCCCTTCTTTGCAGCCTTTTGTCCTATGTCTAAAGTGTGTCTAGAGCTCTAGTAGCTCTTTTCTGTGTGATCTGACATTCTCCAGGTCTGATCCTTCTCTCCACCGTGCTCCTATCATTGCATATCTATGGACTATGGTCTCCTCGAAAAGGGAATAGGAAACCCCCATGAGAAAAACCATGCGATTGTTATATATCTTGAGTGTATTTTGTTAGCTAGGGTGGGTGGAACCTCTGTTTGTCATCTGGAGTGGTCATTTGATTGTGCATTGATCACTCTAGTCAGTAACCATAAATAGTTGAAATTCTACGAACATAGCAAATTAAAAAACATATTATTTTTACAAGATAAAATGTTTATTTTTCATAGGAATTTGGAATAACCCTAAAGTCAAAACTTCCTCAAAGTTCTTACCACGTAGGCATATTTTGAGGGAAAAATACTAATGTACAGTTGCACCCGTTGTATAATGGAGGTACTAGCTAGTATTTTTTTTTCTAAGTCAAAGTTCTTTAAGTTTGACTAAGTTTATAGAAAAATATAGTATATCAATACAAAAGAAATATTGTATCAAAATATATTCAATGTTAAATTTAATGATACTAATTTTGTGTTATAGATGTTGCTAGTTTTTCCTATATACTTGGTTAAACCTAAAGAACTTTATCTAAGAAAAAACTCAAACAACTTATAATATGAGACAAAGGGAGTACATGATATATAGATATAAGAGATGGATTTTACAATTTTGTATTTGGAGTGGTACAAGCCAAATTGTAATTAATACATTGAAAAGCACATGCCAGCTTTTGTTAGACCAAAACGAGTAATAATACGATTAAAAAATGGCTAATAATAAAATAGGAAGAAACAAATTAAACCACAAAGTAATTAATGTAGGTGGGCCCAATAACAACTAAGATGAAGACTTTTGCATTCTCTATTTTCATGTCAGTTGGTAGGTGAGCCTATCATATCTGGCCAGTCTATTTGAAGGGACAACGATAAGACCAAGCATACCAACCCCTGTGAACCGGACCCCACTTCCGCATGCATGCATGGGCACTATGGACTTTCCTTGTCGTATAAAAAGAGGATCCATACCACTAAAAAAATGGTTCGGACAACTGGAATAGGCTAACCCTAGACTCAATGAAGAAGGGTTCATCCTCTCCCACTTAGAACATCTCATAATCTCTCACTGGAATCATCTTCATCGCTTGTAGCAAAGAACACATGAGTAAGGTTACGCATCCGTGTGGTCCGAAGCTGTATAATCCTCTATCTCCATTTTTACGTGTGATAAAAAGGGGTGCCTTTCCTCCGCGATGGAAGAGCTTCTTGCTCCGACAATATAAAATTATATGTGTTTTTTATTTTAAATAAATAAAAATGTAATTATCAAATTTTTATCAAGACTGCATTATTTCTTGGTTTCAAATTTGCATAACAGGGAAAAAAATGGTATTAATTCTTGATCGGGCACAATTTCTTGAAGGGGGAGGGAAGGGGCGAGTGAGTCGATCTGTATATATGCTGGCCGAGGTTGAGGCAACCTGCATCGTTGGATCGATGTAAATATGGTTATGGTACGTCGGATTCGCTGAACGATGAGGATTCAATGAATGATGATGGCCATGAGTGAAATGAGTTGCATTGTAGAGTAGATCACGCTCAATCTCCTGTCGCAAGTAATTATCCTCTTCTCTTTTTAAGAAGCATTTGTCGTTTTTCAAATAAATAATAAGAATCGAGATATATTTTTAAATGTTTATGTTGATTGGATAGAAGAAAATCATATGCTAGATTTCATTAAAAAAAACACTTGCATAATATGATATTTTTGCTAGTTAATAGCTTAACCGGGTGAGAGACAGCCCCCAATATTTTTCTGTAGGACGGAGGATTGCTGTGGTAATAGCTTGGCCATTAAGTCCTACTAGGAGTCTCCTCAAAAGCAATAATCAAAAGACGAATTGATACCGCAGAGCAATTATGAAATGGCAATTTCTTCATCTTTAGAACTAGCAAAGTAGCCCGCG